CATGTTGTGGGGTTGTTAACCACTGTCATAAAACAATATGTGTACTACTGTTTCATGAGAAACTATTTGTTCTGTAAGCCTTCACCTGAAGTACAATTAAGAAAAAAGAAAATTTGTTAATCTCATAGGTGAGATACAATTTCACAGTTTTAATTTGCATTTCTCTAATTATGAGCAACATTTTAATTTTTTTTGGTGAATTGTCTGATCATGTCTTTTTCCACTTTTCCTTTTGGGTTTTTGATCCTTTGTCCTTCAAATTTTAAGAACTGGCCTCATGATCTGTAAAGCTAACGAAGACTGAATATATACACTGGCATTTTATGACAGTTCTTACCATGACTTCTATCAAGTAAGTAATATTATGTAGTATAGACCAATGGAATAGGAGGTGCTCTCCTATGGAGTTAGGCTCTATTTTAATTTAAAGTCCAAAGCATATATAGAATAAACTCTAAGAGACAAAGACAGATACGTTTGCCTGTTTGTATAGTAAATTCTTGTTCATTATGAAATGAGCTTATCTTTATTGTTTCAGCTCATCCAGTCAAATCACAGGCTGCCAACCTCAGAACTGAGCTTAGAGAGAATAAATGTGTTCCAAAACCAGATATAAATCTTTTTTTTGAGTGATTAGACACATTTTGGTATCATCTACATCTCTACCCTCTTGAGTATTAGGAGAAAAATAGGGGCTATTAATCTTGTTAAAAGGCTTTAAAAATATTCTTAAAAACAAACTGTGTATGAAGATCCAATTCAGCTCACATAAACTGTTTAAACTGTATAATTAATTATATGCCACTCTTTCAAAAATTTGCTGTCCATTCAGCTGTCTTAATTCAGAAGACAATACTGTATGAATTTTGGAATGTTACATGTTGAGACATTAAAAGTTGTATTCATTTTTTAGCAATTAACTTTTCTAGCTGTTAAACCTTATCCATAGATACTACACAAATTGACCACAGTATTAAAGATTCAATTACAGGTGCCAATATTACATTATTTGTGATAGTGATAATAAAATGAGCAGAGAATGGAAATCACAGACAGTAACAATTCACTGGCAGTCAATTAACAGAAAGGATTCATAACACACATTCCTTGATGGTAGGTAAGACTTGTAGAGAAGGTGGTAATAAACTATGGAGAAGTCCATCAGTTGCCCTGCTGCCCAAGACTGAGGAAGATTAAGGTTGCTGCAGCAGGAGACGCATTTGAGGGCTCCATCTTTCCTTACAGTACTGTATTAAAATACATGTGCAAGCTTGCTGTTTCAGTTTTGTTTTTACCATTAGCTTCTCTTCTTATTCTTGATTTATAAAAGAATTAGGGGAGACAGCAAGGAAAAGAAACACACTGAACTTCTGGAAAAGTTAATGGCAGTTTGACAGTAACATTTCCAAAGAATTACCCTCTTCTTGGTATATAGCAGAACATACAGTAAAACCTGAGAAAGCCAGAACCTGTTTAAGGCGGAAACCTGTCAAAGAAGGAAAACTCAAAATATTTTCCACTAAAACGAGCGATAGGAAAGTAGTGAGCCTGCACCCCAGCCAAGGCAGAAAACCTGCATGACTTGGAAAAAAAAGGCAGCCTCGGTGAGTCTCGGCTCTCACAGGTTTCACTGTAGTTGTCTTAACTTTCTCTACTCATCAGTCAATAGAAATCGACGGGATCAGTGAATTCGATACAACCACTTTAAGGAAAAATAGTTTATAATAAAAATTTTCATGAAACTAGACTTCCTTTCACTTTTCCCTCTGTCCTCCAGCTACTTAAAAAAATCTTGATAGCGTTAGTTATCTCCCACAAGAGGAACATTAAAGATTTGACAAAGTATTGGTGAATCTGCAAGACAGACCTGTAAAGTTCGAGTCGGTGAGTGAACTGAAAGTAAGTAGTTTTACACTGAGAACTTTTTTATGCCTCCTTACAGTTTAAATGCTCTTTTGTGCTGGTTTAGTAGTAAAAAAACACTTGCTTACATCATCAACAACAAAAACAATTTCAGTGCAGTTAATATAGGGAGTTTTACCACATTTTAGTAATATTTTTTAAAAGGGTAAACGTTAAACATCCTGCCCCTTTTTAACATGTTTAAATAGATGGAAAAGCTACGAATGGACTAAAAAATACATTTTAAGAAAAGACGTGGGCATAATAAAAAAAGAACACTTTTATACATAGGATTTTATTTTGCACTGCTATAACAATTTCATTATAGGTCAAGGGAGAAAAAAGAAAAAAAGGATAAAACCACCACAATGAGTAAATTACTAAAGCTTTTCTACTTTTTTAACAGGATTTTCCATCTGGTAGATTTATTGTCATATCCCTTTCAAAACAGACAAGATGCTTACCATATTTTAAAGTTTATAGGTTGCCACTGAAAGAAAAATTTTACATAGTCACTGTACATTAAGGTTGAAAAACTGTCCTGCATGAAAAATATACTTAGAAATCATATGGATAAAAGAAAAAGAAAACATTATTGTGTTTAAGGAAAGATTAAAGTTCTCATAATGTGCCATCTACACTGGATATTCATTCTTCTTGGAGTTGCTTAGATGTAGGGATTCCTTGCTTCTGCCCTTTGCACTCATTATACTGTGTTTTAAACCAACAGTATTCATTAAGGCAAACAAATCCTTTTCTGAGAGGTCTTAAGGAAATTGTGGACAAACAGCAAACTTCTGGCATTAGAACAGGTTAACACATACACAGCCTTTAGTAATATACATTAAGCTTATTTTTCTTGGACTAGTGACAAGAAAAGATGAACATGCTTGTTAACAATGTCAAAAAGTTTAAAATTCAGCGTCCAAGCAATTCCTAACAATGCTTCTGTAGCTTTAAGCTCTAAACAGTATAGAATTTATGCAAATGCATTAAAGAATTCAAGCTTGGCAAATTACACCCAAGCAGGTTATTAAACTATATATACAGAAAGTAAATGATAAATACAGAATTAAAAGAGTCCTTCTGTTTTTCCTTAAAGCCTTGAAAATGGACAAACTTTTTGAGGACAGTTCTATAATATTAAACATTAGGTAACCACAGGTATTGGGAAACCTAACTACACAAACCAATTTAAAATACTCAAGATGACTTTGTAGTGTTTAATACAATTCAGTTCGTAGTCAAGGGCACAAGACAACGTTTAACAAAAATAATCACATCAATTGACCTAGAAATCAAATGTAAATAGATATGAATACAATCTCCAAAATCTGTCTTTTTTAGTGAACATTAACCATTTATTCAAAGTTATACAAGAATTTGAAGGATTAAAGTCTTCTGTGACATAAAGCCATTTCAAACAGTTTCATGTCTCAGCTGAGCAGGAGGAGAGAGGGTGAAAGAACATTAAGGAGGCCCCATGTGGGCAGCTAGACAGTCAGAACAGACTCAGCAGCAGCCTCCCCCAGCCTGCTGTCCTCCCTGACTGCCTGCGTGTGTTGCATTAGTAGCAGCATGCTGAGGGCCAATTTTAATGCCATTTGCCTGAAATAAAAGAAAAAAGGACAATAAACATAATCGGATGCAACCAGACAGTACAGTTTAATTAGGTTTTTCTAAAAATTCATTTAATTATTAATGACACAATTTTGCCAAATAACTCAGAAAAATACATCATATTAAGTAGATTTTGGCATTAACAAAAAACACAGGTCTTAGGGGATGGTTCCTTCCTTTTAAAAAAAAAAAAAAAAAAAAAACACTGAGGAAATGTTTTTGAAAATAGTTTTTTTCTGTAAACATAAAACTGCTCTAAAAAAGAAAGTCTATTAAAGTGTGAGGGAAAAAGATTCTTTATCATAGCAGATATTGGGGAAATAAAAAATGGGCAGTGTTGCTTTTCAGGGAATTCTCATAATGTAGAAATTGTTTAAAACCATTATTGCAGGTAACCTTTAAAGGATAAAAACATTCAAAGCCTATGCCGCTCTAACACAACGTCAAATCTTTTCTCTAGACAGCATTTCTGTTCCCTGTTCCATCAGCTGTATGCGCTAAGGGCATACGAGTGTTCTGTGTCATCAATAATTTCTATGATCCCCAAAGACATGGCAGCTTGCCAAGAACCCACACACAGAGTAGTTCTTTCATTCATCAAACTCACACTTCTATCTTAACCCTCACTCCCTCAAGTGGATTTTACCTAAAAATACAACACTTTGAGAAAAGTAATACAGTAGCTTCAGAAATTAAGCTCTTAAGGAAACTTTCCGTCACAGTAAACCTCAGATTTATAGAGCTTGGCAGTTGTTCTCAACAGTAGTAGCCTTGGGGTTTCTGGCACTAGCTCCGTATTGACAGCAGCTGATGTGGTTTCTTTTCGCTCCTTTGACTCCTCTTTAATAAAAAGCATGCCCTATGGCTCATTGGTTTTGCCCCCTCTGGGCTGGTAGCAACTTCTTGAGGAATCAAGGAGTCAGACTTGGCATTAGGCCAAATAAATAGCACGGACTGTTGGCTCTTGACAGCATATTACAATCAAAGCTCCATACATAAGGCACAGCAAAGCAGTCAGCTACTATATGAAACTAGACAGAAACAATGAATGTGCCTTTTTAAATAGCAGCCCAATTACTGTTCAATTTATACAGCATTAGCCTCTGAATGGTGTCGCCTTTAAATTAACTCAAGATCTACTGCCATATAATCCAAGAAGGTAAGATTTAGAAACTGTACTACTCCAAATTAAGAGGAATGAGGAAATCGAGTACTTTTTGGAAACCTTCGATAAACTGTTGTTTGTTTTAGCAAAGACCATGAAGGCGAATGACAGAGAGCCCTGCCTATGTGCAGGCCAAGAGACACACGAGCGAAGGCTTTCTAACGTAAGGTTTCCTATCACCAATTTGAAGGAGCCAGGGTTTTTCTCTTGGAAGTAAAAAGTCTTAATATAGAACAGTAAAAATATTTATGTAAAATTAAATAATATGCTACATCCATCTAAATAGGTGAAATGGTAAGGGCAAATGCACAGTGAGGATTCAGGTGAAAACAATAACGTTTGGTAAGCACTCTAAATCACATGCTTTAAAGCTTACATTTGATTCTATCATGTAACTTTACAAAAACCCAATGCCAGTTACATATATTAACCTAGTCTCCTGAAAACCTGCTATGCTATACTGGGTATAATTTCCAAATGGGGTATTTCCCGCTTTCATAACAGACAACAGAGAGAGCATCCTGCATCAGTAACATAGTACATGCATTTACACACTAGAAAATTATTCCCCAAAGCAGATGACACCATATGGGCATGTGAATGAAAGTAGATTTTCACTCTCTTTGGGGGAATTATATTATTTTGCATTGTATGCAATAAATGGATAGGGTCACTTACTTTAATCCATTTTCATAGATCAAGTGACACTCTATTATAACAAACATTTAACTATTATTATTCTACCTATACCAAGTTTTCAGTTAGGTGACAGTAAAATAGTATCACAGGTTCATCTTAGAAATTTAAAAAACAAAGTAAAGTACTCCTGAGGTTCACCCTTTAGCCAAAGATTAGACAGCCCCATAAAACAAAACGAGAGTAAAGGGGCACACCAGCCCAGGGGCAAGGACGAGAAGGCAGGAGGGGACAGGAAAGCTGGTAATGGGAACCCAAGGTTGATAAAGGGAGAGTGCTGACTCATTGTGGGGTTGGCAACCAATATCACAAAACAGTATGTGTATTAACTGTTCAATGAGAAACTAATTTGCTCTGTAAACCTTCATCTAAAGCACAATAAAAAAAAACAACACACACAGGTACTTATACACATACACACAGCTCTAACAAACTAGGTTCCCTAAAGACCACCTTTAAAAAAAAGTAAAATCATGAATCCAAGTAGTAATTAAAATTCAAATCTAAATTAGTATCAGTTAATAATACTTATATGTATGTACCTCGTTATTAATGTCAAACACTCCTTCTTGGATTTTTTCATAAATTTCTTTTGCTGTATTAATAAATGCCTGAAATACAAAGGAGAAACATTGGTTCAAGTTATTTAAAACCACAACAGTAAAAGAACATTATATAAAAACTCTATAAAATGTGTAACCTAGCAGTGTCAGAGGAGGAAAGAGAAACCCTCTACAGCCGCCTCGCTCTGCGGGCCAGGAAGCCCACCACAGCCGTCTCGTGCCAGTCTCCTGGTTTGCTGCTTGTATTGCTAGCGCTGTCGCATGCTCTCTCCAGCGTTACAGCTTTGTTTCCTGGTTCTAGGAGGTTCTCAGCACAAGGACCCGGGTCCAGAGGATATGCTAGGCTCCCAGCTCTTCTTTTTGATAGTAGTGAGGTCCCCCTCAACCTCTGTGAGATTAGCTCTTTTATAAACCTATTCCTCCCACCAAGACCAAAAACTGAGCAATCCCTTTGCAGGACTGTGGTCTAGCAAATCATCAGAACTACAAACGCAGGGTCAGAAAGGCTATATATAAAGAGAAACCCATTACACTGTAAAATGTCTTAACAGTCAACATATAGAAATCAATGCAATACTCCGTATTAACCAAAAAACCCATTGCCATCAAGTCAATTCCAACTCACAGTGACCCTAAAGGACAGAGTAGAACTGCCCCATAGGTTTTCCAAGGAGAGCTTGGTGGATTTGAACTGCTGACCTTTTGGTTAGCAGCCGTATCTCTTAACCACTACGCCACCAGTGTTAAAACACCATGTTAATAAAGGACAAAAACCACGATTATCTCAACAGACACAGAAAATACATGTCTTAGGCTGGGTTCTCTAGAGGAGCAAAAACAGTGAAGCGTATGTATATAAATAAATATATAAGTATTTATTTATATAGAGAGATTTAGTTCAAGGAAATGGCTCACACTTGTGGAGACTGTCAAGTCCCAAATCCCTGAGTCAGATGTCAAGCTGGAGGCTTCTCCTGACTCACATGGTTGCAGGGGCTGATGAACCCAAAATTGGGAAGTCAGACGGTAGGCTGCTGGCTCGTGGGGCGGCGGGAGCTGGTGAATCCCAAAATCTGCGGGGCAGACCTCAGGCTACTGGCTCAGATCAGAGGATGATGAGTTGGATGCAGGACCCAAAGAGAGCGAGCTCTGCCAAAACATCTATGTATGTTGGATGCAGGCCACACCCTCAAGGAAATTTCCCTTTCAACTGATTGGCTGCTCACATCAGATCTCAAAATGGAGGATGATTACATAATACCTCCCAAACGACTGAGAATCATGGCCTAGCCAAGCTGACACATAATGTTAACCATCACAAAACATTTGACAAAATCCAACACCTCTTCATGATAAAAACATTCAACGAAATTGAAATAGAAGGGACTCTCCTCAACATGATAAAAGGCATCTACTTAAACCCACAGCTAACATCATAATTAATGGTGAAAGACTAAAAGCTTTCCCCCCTAAGATCAGGAACAAGGCAAGAATGTATGGGAATGCTTATAAGCATTATTAGCAGCGCTGGTCACAACAGCTAAGAAGCAGAAACAACACAAACATCCATCACCTAATGAATTAAAAACAAAATGTGGTATGTATGTACAACGGCATAGTATTCAGCCATAAAAAGAAATGAAGTACTGATTCATGCTACAATGTGGACGAAACTTGAAAACATGATGCTAAGTGAAAGAAGCCAGACACAAAAGGCCACATATTGTATGATTCCATTTACATGAAATGTCCAGAATAGGCAAATCCATAGATAAGAGAAAGTAGATTAGTGGTTGCCAAGGGCTGGGGGAAGGATGGACAGTGGGGGAAAAGGTAGAGTGAGTGTTAGTGGGTACCGGGTTTCGTTTTAGGATGATGATCATGTTCTGGAATTAGACAGTGGTGATGGTTGCACAACTTTGTGAATACACTAAAAAGCACTGAATTGTATACTTTAAATGGGTGAATTTTATAGTACATGAATTATATCTGAAAAGAAAAATTACAAGGTGGAAACAGCACACATGAGAAAAACATGTGAACTAGGTAAACTGCACAGCCTTCCATGCTGAAACTAACTTGCTTTTGGAGGACACCGTTCCATATAAGATCCTTTTTGCCATGACAATGAATTACTTAATACACAGTTTAAGATAGAAAAAAATCTAAGGATGTTTATTATAAAGAGATAACAGTAAGCTCAACTTCTATGTCACATTCTATCCCATTATAGTATACTATTAAATTGACAAAAAAAATTAGTGCTAGAACACTGTAGGCCAAGTTAAGCCTCTAAATACTAACATTAATCCATAAGTCGTATACATTCATGTAATATATAAGTATATATTTATATGTATTTATGTACTATGTAAATGTTATATAAATACTGTCAATGGTAAAGAAGTATATAAATTCAGATAGGTTCTGAACTATATTCGAGAGATCACAGATAACAGTACTAATCAATGTTGTGAGATTCTCTTCATTTAGCATTCTATGAAAATTCATAAAAGATGCTATTCTTTGCAGTTGCCCAGTACCACTGACACAGACCAAATTCAAATTTTAAAAAGTAAACAAGGTTCATGGAAAGAAACAAATCATACCTTTCATCTCTTTCTACCCTGGAAACATTTGACTGCTGAACTTGCCACTAGAGCTTTTGTTTCCTAATTAACAGGACTGATATGTTTTCACCTTTAAAGGCCTTACAGCTCCCCAGAGTAATCAATCTACTGCAGCTCAATTACTGCACCAAGCACACACCAGTCAGTGAAGAAGACGCGAACGACTGTGGCAGGAGCAGAGATATGAATATGCATAAACTCTAAGTGGCTGATCGAATCATCACAGAGGGTCATGAGACTTTGCAGCAAAATAATGAGAAGAATTAATCACTGCAGATTCACCAGGCACTTATTAGGAAGCAAGTGCGTTTTTCATGTATGTACTGGAGTTAGAGTGAAGGAGAAATTGGCTTTCAGCCAATTATGAATTGATTCACATGCCTCAAAACTGAAGTTATCCCTTTAAAGAAAAAACTTAACTTTATTTCCAATAATATGTCAATTACTATGATGACCTTAGAAACCAGGCTAACTAAAGATTGAAGCCAACAAATTCACAAATCCATGGGGCTGGAGTTCCTCACAGGGCATCCACGGTGCACATCTCACTGGAACATTAGAACAGGTCCCATCAATGAGTTGTAACTTCATACAAACAAGCACTTATATTACAGAAGTTATTATTAAATGTGCCAATTTATGTAACTAAATTGCCCTTTTGCAAATCTGTTGATGAATTACTTTTAAAACCTGGCTTAAGAAAGCTATGCTACATAAAACTTCACAAGCCAGTACTAATTTTGTTACATAAATAGTATTTAACACTTCATTAACTAAGCACCTTCAAGCTTAGCTGTAACTGATGAATTTAAGACGTATTTTATATTTGAAAGACATGTAATAATTTCATCACAACTGAAATAAAACAAATGATTGTATTTTCTTTCACAATTCCTATCATCTCTATGAAGTAGTCTTTGGACAACACTGTATTCACTTGTCATCCAACCTGTCTGAATGTATATTAAAGACATTAAAATATTTTCTACCCCTCTGAGCAAATTATAGAAAAAGTACCATATAAATGGAATGTTGTATACACTTCATGGCAAAAATTCACATTTGACATATGTTACTAAATATATAATGATTAATTTTAATGCATCCTTAGAATTTAAAACATGACAAATTTAGACATAAGTATACCTGTCTGAAAACTGTGTGGCTATGGACTGGAACTGTTGAGTTCCCAAATGTAATGAATATTAACCAAATACTGTTAGGGCTTATTAGAGATCAAAGGAAACTTCTAAGAGCCTTGGGTATTGCAGACAATACCTGCCCATTTATGTCAGAAAAAATTTCAAGAACTCTAAAAGAGATGTATATCTATTGTAATAACCGCTCATTTCCTGCTATTCATTAGAAACTAATGCCCATATATATTTTTTCAAGATAGAAATGCTTCTAATACATCTTTAGACTGTCAAATTTTTCTGGACATATATAATATATAAAAATACATTTTAAATATCTCAGTGCAGTACTAATATGTCCTTCACAGAATTTGTTTAATTTGAATGGCTGATCTGTTCTCTTAAAAATACTTCATAAGTTATTACTTTTGAATCTCAAATGCCTAGCACAATACCTAAGACAGAGTAGGCATTTAAAAAACCTTTATTAAATGCCATTACCCTCAGCAAGGAAATATCTTCAGGGTATGCTAAGCTTACATGAAGTTTCATTTTCTTTATGTGTACCATCTCTTTGGGGGTAAGCTCTTAAATTTAAGACTTACTTAAAGGGCAAGACTTAAGTGGCATGTACTAGGTAAAACAGATCTAGATCATAATGTCCTCTTACAGGAAAAAGGCTAAAATTACTCTTATTATTTAAACCAAGTTGATTATTTTAAACAAATGTGCCTCAGTTTTTATTTTCAACAGTTATAGGATAATAACGAAATTCAATAAAACTTATCTATAGGTCAGTGATCTAATAACCTGAAATACCTCTGGAACACAGAAAAACAACTTAGAACAGTGGCAACAACAGGTGAACTAAACAGATACTACAAAGCCTTTATCGTGAAAGTCGTGCTTTGACATAACTCTTTAACTCAAGATTCCTACAAATTTTAGATCTAATTTTAAACAGTTTTATTTTTATATTTCCCAGGTTACAGAAGAAAACTCTGAGAGGGAGGGGAAGGAGAAAGAGAAAGGGAAAGGTGTAAGGGCGCATCAGTGTGGTGGCTAAGAGGGGATGAGACTGCAGTATCGGGGAAGGGCCGACAGGGGGAGCCTGACGACTCAGGCCCGCGGACCGCAAGAGGGGAGCAGGAGACTCCTAAGAGCAGAGTACAACTGCGTTGATGATGGTCCCACGTTACCAAGGAGAGAGGGACACAGCATTTGCTTTTTAACATAAAAAATGCAGAATAAATTTTTGAAAAGCTTTCATCAAAATTTTTTA